GAGGGTCCCCCCGCGCCCCGCCCAGCTCCGCCCGCCCAGTGCCCGAGCGCGCCGGAGCCCCACCCAGGTCCAATGAGCCCCCTAATTCGGAGTCGTTATCCGGGCGGTGGTGCGAACCCAACCGGATCCCCCGACCTGTGCAGCGCAAGTAACCTGCTCGCTTGGCGGCGTCCGGAGCCCATTGAGCCCATCCGTGGGTGCCCGACTGGGGAGGGGCTGCGGATATACAGTCCCTTCAGTGCATTGCCTCGGTTTGGGGTGGGGGGCGACTGTTAACAGGAAGAATAGGAAGTACCCTTGCCCTGTAACAGTTCACTGCTAAGAAGAGAGAACGGTCCATTAAGCCTGGAAGCACCTTACACAATGGGGGCAAAGGGTCCTTGTCAGGGGACCACTCCTGCCTTCACTCCACCTGCACCGGTAGATAGAGGGCCCCGAGTACGCGGGAGATCGCGAGCTGGCTCATTTCCGAATGGAGCGGGAGGGCAGCCTCAAGGTTACCCTCCCTTCCCTCAGACAGAACGGAAGCGGGCACGGAGGTATTTGAGCCTGAGCTAAGGAAGGGCGCACAGACGCTGGGGCCTGCAACAGGGCCTGTGATGCTCCGTGCACCGCCAAGAGTGAGAGCTGCTTCCTGTTCCTCAGATTTGGAGGTTGGGCATCACACTGACCTTGGAACCAGGTCAGTTTCCTGTGGGTGTTGCCATCTCCTTGGAAGAGGCAAAGACTGGGCATACAGTAAGCGCTGCATCAAAGGGGTACCCTGAGCCCACCCCACTTCTGACCAAGTCAAAGCCCTTCCCTGCTCTCAAGGTCAGTGTTGACTTCCCCAGGGAGAGAAAATCTTTGGAGGAGCCTTGCGCCATTGGTTTGTTATTGGATTTACCTTGGCCGCACCCACTCTAAGTTCCCCTGGGAAAAATAATAGAAGTAACTGATTTGGGGAGACAGACGGGTCTGGAATCAGGTCCTTGGATCAGGCTCTTCCTCATGTTGGCCAAGTGACCTTGGGGGTCATCTTTTGTCGAGGGCTTGTAACATCTCTCATCTCACTTGGTTTGCCCAGCATCTCTGGGAGGGAGGATGGCAAAGATTGCACCACTTTTGCTGTGGAAGAGGAAATTGAGGTCCCAGGAGATCCAGCCACAAGAGCCAGAGGGCCAGCTCCTGACAGGTCTTCTGTCTCCAGATCCACATTCTTTCCACTGTGCTTCTCCCAAAAAGAAGATACTGATTTCATTCGGCTTGTGGAAGGCTGGGATTTTATTTTACTTCATCAGGATGATGAATAGCCAGTCTATACATGTTATCTTTTTAAAAACCAGCTTCTGACAGTTGACAGATCGTTGGATAACCTTAAACACTTCCATAAGTGTGCATGTGTGCTTTTTCTTATCTGTGATGCTTGCTTACTGGGCTGCCTCTAGCATACTCATAACTGCATATTGTCTCTGAAGGGCCTGAGGACATGTGGGCAGGATATTTGGCTTAGGTGAGCCTCAAGTTCCCAACGCAGCTGCCAAAGGGAGTGGGGGAGGCTGTGATGAGGCCCGTGGTCACAAAAGGCTCAGCCCAGAGAAACCCAGGACACTGGAGAACGGACATACCAGAGTGGGGAGCCCTTTAAGGACATCTGAGCTGACACCTCATGTTGAAAGAGGAGCCCTCTGGCCTAGGGCAGCCAAGCCCATGAATTTAACAAGTTTCACCAGAGCCTCCAAGGAGTGAAATGCCTTGAGGGAGGACACCGACCTGGAAAATTCAGTTCCCACCTGGGGTTCACAGTCTAGCAGGGAGAAGATGCCAAAACTCCACCATCCTGGATGACTAAGAGTGGTCATGTGCTCTCGGTTTGGAAGGAGATGTTGAAGGGATGAGGGCTCCAAAGGCTGGGGAGGGCAGTGGTTAGATTCAGCTCTGCAGCCTCAGGCGTGGGTGTGAGTTTGGCCTCTGAATTGGAGATGATAACAGTGCCACTTCAGGATGGCTGTGAGGATTAAAACCTTTGGCACAGCGCTGGGCAGTTGTAAACATGAGCTCACAGAGGATTGGGTTATCTCTGAGAGCCTGAACTTTGGAATCCAGGCCACCTTGCTGGGTTGTCTCCACCTCCTTTTGATCCAGTCCTACAGATGCAGGCTCTGGGACAGCTTTAAAAGTCTCAGAAGAGCATTTTCCTTTGGTTTATTTTGAATAACATTAATTAACATTTCGTTAATGAATTACTTTTTTGCCTGTTGGACTCAAGAGTTCTAGAATGTCAGACCCAGAATGACCCCTAGAAGCCCTCGGCCCAGCTCCATCATTTTACAAGCAGGGGAAAAAGAGCCAGAGATTAAAGACTTGGCCATGGCCTTGGACCTTGCAGGCCGAGGGAGTGAATGCAGCTGCTGGATGTTCCCTTTTGGTTGTTCCAATGGCTGTGGTTTTCCCACGGCTCAAGCTCAGGTTTACATCCGGTTGTGAGGTTGTAATGGCATCAGTGGGGGGTCCTGAGAGTTGCTCGAAATGAAGTCGAAGGACATGCCACGTACCAGGTTGTTGGAGAGTACGCTGTCCACTAGAACTTTCCGCAGCGATGGAGTTGCCCCGTGTCTGCACTGTCCAGCATGCTAGACACTAGCCACATGTGGCTACTGCATGCCTGAGCTGTGGCCAGATGCAGAGGAACTGAATTTTTAATTGCACTCATTTTAATTTATTTAATTGTGAATGTGATGGTCTCCTGTGGCTGGTGGCAACCTTATGGGATAGTGCAGTACGCAGAGGAATGTAAAAAACAGAAATCCTGATGGGCCCTGAGGGGCAGGGTTTCCTACAGGGAGCTCTCTGGGGACTGTAGGCAGCTCTCAAACAGCAGAGCTAATGGAGGGACCTTGGTGTGGACTTGACCCGGGAGATAATCTGAAATCCTTTATTTGTAGGTAGGCATGTGAGGTCTCCAAGGTTTTCTTTCCTGGGCCTTGCTTTTAGATGTAAATCTGCTAGGAAGCGTCTTGAGGTCCGGGATTGCTTTGTTCACTGCTGTACCATGAATGCCTAGCAAAGTGCCTGGTAGATACCTCAATAAAGATTAGTGGAGTGGACCTGGACTTTAGTACACGCCTGCCTCGTCTTAATTGCGTTCTACTCTGTTACACTTTGACGATAGTGCATTTTTGTTTTTACAAATTGAAGGTTTGTGGCAACTTTACTTTGTCAGGTGATGGTTAGCATCTTTTACCAATAGAGTTTTGTTAAAATTTTTTTAAAAATTGAAGTATAGATATATATGGGCTATACTTCCCATGATGTAGTTGTAAAGTGTTTTTTAAATTAAGGTATGTGCATTGTTTCCAGACATAACGCTGTTGCACATTTAATAGTGTAAACACGACTTTGCACTGGGAAGTCAAAATATTCATGTGACTCGCTTTATTGCAATATTTGCTTTATTAGAACAAAACCTGCAATATCTTTGAGCTATGCCTATATGGAATTCTTTCTCTTTGGTGCTTTGTCTTTGAGTTTACAGTGGAATTAATAAAAACATAGAATCTGAGTTACTGCGGGGTGGGTATAGCTCAGTGGTAGAGTGCATGCCTAGCATGCATGACATCCTGGGTTCAATCCCCAGTACCTCCATTAAATCAGCCAATCAATTAATCAATCAAATTACCCCCCCACACACTCCCCCTCAAAGAACCCCAAAACAAAAGAATTTAAAAAAAGAAAAGAAGAAGAAGAATCAGAGTTACAGAAACCCTACTCAGAGCAGTATTCTGGTTCCTAAAATGATGTACAGTGCTGGCTCCCTTCCTGCTGAGATGTGGGGGCTGTGGGTGAACATGCAGCCTTTGTAGCCCAGAGAGCCTGCGGTGGGAAGGCTGTGCCCACCCACTGCCCAGCCTCCCCCTGTGAGTGGGCCAGGCAGCCTGGCGTCGCCCTTGACTTGGCACCACAGCTGACCAGCTCCCGGGTTTCAGTCAGGCCAGGAGTTGCTTTCTCCCGGGCGGGGCTTGTTCAGGTGGGGCCGGCCTGGGGCACCTGCTCTGTGGGCCTCCTGGTCCACTTTCTTTCACTCTCAGAGGCATCCTGAGGAAGGGAGTAAATTACATGGTTCTCCCATCCGTGGGCTACATCTGAAAAACTGATGTAGCTTGTTACAAATGCTGATTTTCTGCATGCGAGTTATAGTTGAGTAGAAAATCAACAAAGTGTAGATTTTCAAACGTTTATGAGATATTTGGGGAAACTTGGAAAGTCCCTTGATAGTAAATGATACTAAGGAATTTCTAGGGTTTTTTTTCACAAATATAATTTTTAATGACAACATAATATTTTCATTGTGCACGCAGACCATAATTTTCTTAACAATTCTCCTGTAATTTAGGTGTTTTCTTTTTATACTACTTTCATTACTAATCTTCCTTTAAAATTTATTTATGTATTTATTTTACAATAGCCTATTTTTAAAATTGAAGTATAGTTGATGTACAGTATTATATGTTACAGGTATACAATATAGTGATTCACAACTTTTTAAAGATTATTCTCCATTTATAGTTATTACAAAATATTGGCTGTATTCCCCATGGTGTACAGTGCGTCCTTGTGGCTTGTTTTATACCTGATTGTTTGTACCTCTTAATCCTCCCCTCCATCTTGCCCCTCCCCCCTCCCTCTCCCTACTGGTAATCACTCATTCCATCTCTACATCTGTGAGTCTATTTCTTTTCTGTTATATTCTCTAGTTTGTTGTATTTTTTTAGATTCCACATGTAAGTAATATCTTACAGCATTTGTCTTTCTCTGTCTGACTTCACTCAGCATAATGCCCTCCGAGTCCATCCATGCTGCGCACTAGAAACTAACACAACAATTTCAATCAGCTGTACTTCAATTGAAAAGCAAACAACCAATCAGCCAACCCATTTAAAACATGAGCAGAAGAACTGAGCAGACATTCTTCCAAAACAGGAAATGCAGTTGGCCAACAGGAACAGGGAAAGTTGCTCAGCATCACTCATACCAGGGAAATGCAGATCAAAATCACAATGAGACACCACCTCACCTGTCAGAGTGGCCATCATCAAAAAGAACACAAATAACAAATGTTGCCAAGGCTGTGGCAAAAAGGGAGTCCTTGTGCACTATTGGTGGGAATGTAAATTGGTGCAGCCACTGCAGAAAACTTGGAGGTTTCTCAAAAACCTAAAAATAGAACCACCACATGGCCCAGCAATTCCACTCCTGAGCATACATCAGAGAAAAACAAAAAACATTAATTCAAAAATACACATACACCCCAGCTATTAACAGCAACATTATTTATAATTGCCAAGATATGGAAGCATCCTAAGTGCACATCAATAGATGAACGGATAAAAAAGATGTAGCATATATACGCAGTGGAATGCAACTCACCCATAAAAAAGAAGGATATTTTGCTATTTGCGGCCCTTCATTCACTTTTTTCACTTCAAAAACCAGAATTTTATAACTGGCAGAAGCATTTCCATTGCATCAAAAACAACCAAATGCCTAGAAATAAACTTAATCAAGGAT